CTTTCGAGGATCAAGTCAAACTTAGTTCAGTTAGAAGGATTTGAGAAAGAGATCGAACTGCCTGGGCAAGTTCGTCTAGTATTTGTGGGCCAGACATATAAACCGAGCTTGTTGAAAATAAAGATTAAAGTTTCGTTAAACTGGGAAAATGCATTAGATGCAAAGAAACCAGTGAAAGAAAATAAGGCTTTCCGTGGCCGTGGTCGTCAAAACTACCGTGGACGTGGACGAAAGTACAATCCACAAGACAGAAAGTCATTCCAATGGGTCCGCTCTGAGAAATCCCCTAAGGAAAAAGAACACCAAGGAAATACTTCTCAGAAGCGAGAAGAAGCTTGTTTCAGATGCGGTACTAAGGGACATTGGTCCCGTGTATGTCGTACCCCTCCACACCTATGTGCTTTATACAAAGATTCCGTCAAAGGAAAAGGTAAAGAGGTTAACTTTGCGGAAACTTCTGAGGGTACAACGCACCTGGATGCGTCTGACTTTGTGAATGATTTCGAGGAGACCGCCATCACAGAAGATTAAGCACTCATCATGTGACTCTTGAAATTCCACAATTATACCATAAATAATGTTGTTTGTGGAAGATTAATGTATAATTATTGTGTGATTTTCATATGTTTATGTATAATTACTGCGTGTTTGATGTTTGCTAATGATGTATAATATTTTATGAATAAGATTATCTTATCTCCATTAATTCTTTGTTTGTCTCAGAAATGGACACTACAAACGGAGCATCAACCAAGATCAATGCTAGAGATAATTGTATATCAGATAGTGGAACAACGCACACTATTCTTAAACACAAAAAATATTTTTCTGAACTTAAACCAACATATATCACAATTAACACAATATCAGGTCCTGCGGACTTGATTGAAGGGATTGGTAAAGCACATTTCGCATTACCTAATGGGACAAATTTCTCGATAAATAATGCACTATTTTCTCCAAATTCTAAGAGGAATTTGTTGAGTTTTAATGACATATATTCTCAAGGATTTGATATTCATTATGAAACTAAGAATGGAAAGAAATATATGTACATTATTCTTAAGAAATCGGGAAAGCAAAAGGTGTTGGAAAAACTACCAAAACTCCCTTCTGATCTGCATCAAACATATATAAGTGCCATCGAATCACATTTGGTGATTAAGAGAAATTCTGATGACTTTACACTATGGCATGATCGTCTTGGTCACCCAGGCACCACAATGATGTGAAAGATCATCGAGAACGCACATGGTCATTCACTGAAACCCCAAGAAGTTTATCAGGGGAATAAAACGACATGTATTGCGTGTTCTTTAGGAAAATTGATTATAAGACCATCGCCAACCAAGATAGATAAAGAGTTACCAAATATCGCCAACCTTGTGGACCATTCTATTATTTTATGGTAATGATCGATGCGTCGAGTAGATGGTCCCACGTTTGTCTATTATCCTCTCGAAATGTGGCATTTGCGAGATTTTTATCTCAGATAATCAAACTAAGAGCTCAGTTTCCTGATTATCCAATAAAGAGGGTCCGACTAGATAATGCTGGTGAATTTACTTCCCAAGCAATCAATGATTATTGTATGGTAACTGGAATTGATGTGGAACATCATGTTGCTCATGTTCACACACAAAATGGTTTGGCTGAATCATTAATTAAACGTCCGCAACTGATTGAAAGACCATTAATCATGAGGTCTAAACTCCCAACCTCTGTGTGGGGACATGCTATTTTGCATGCAGAAGCACTAATTCGGGTGAGACCAAGTGCATATCACAAGTATTCACCAATATAGTTAGCACTTGAACGAGAACCAAATATTTCTCATCTAAGAATTTTTGGTTGTGCTGTATATGTGCCAATTACACCTCCCCAACGTACAAAGATGGGACCTCAAAGGAGGTTAGGTATATATGTTGGTTGTGATTCTCCATCAATTATACGTTACCCAGAACCACAAACTGGTGATGTATTTACGGCACGTTAGGTAACCACAAACTGGTGATGTATTTACGGCACGTTTCGCTGATTGTCACTTTGATGAAAAAGTATTTCCAGTTCTAGGGGGAGAAAATAAACAAGTAGAAAAAGAGATAAAATGGTGTGTGCCATCTCTACTACACCTTGATCCTCCTACAAAACAATCGGAATTAGAAGTCCGTCGGTAACAAAATCACTTATACCTGCTGCAAAACAACTATTTGATGCATTTGCAGACACCAAAACGGTAACAAAATCACTTATACCTGCTGCAAATGCTCCTTCTCGTATTGAAATGCCACATGAACGTGGAGCAGATGATAATACACGAGAGTCAAAAGTACGTTTAAAACGTGGTAGACCTCTTGGTTCTAAGGATAAAAATCGTAGAAAACGAAAGGAGATGGAAAAGCAAAATCCATCCAATACAATAGATAGGCCGGAAGAAATGAACCATGAGGTTGATAGCAGTGTTGAACATCATGATTCTGAAGAAAATAATGAGATCTCTATTAACTAAATTCACAATAGAAAAATATGGAATCGAAATAATGTGAATGGTGTCGATGATATTTTCTCGTACTTTGTTTCAAAAGAAATAAATGAAGAAAGTGATGACCCTGAACCAAAATCTATCTCAGAGTGTCAAAAGAGACACGACTGGATGAAATGGAAAGATGCAATACAAGTTGAGCTTGATTCTCTTAACAAACGAGAGGTATTTGGACATATCGTAATAACACCTGAAGCTGTGAAACCTGTCGGATACAAGTGGGTTTTCGTTCAGAAACGAAACGAGAAAAACGAAGTAATGAGATACAAGGCTCGTCTTGTAGCTCAAGGATTTTCTCAAAGACCTGGGATCGATTATGAAGAAACATATTTTCCTGTTATGGATGCAATCACCTTTAGATTTTTGATGAGTTTTACTGCTAATCAAAATCTAGAAATGCGTCTAATGGATGTTGTTACAGCATATTTGTATGGGTCATTGGACACTGATATTTATATGAGAATCCCCGAAGGATTTAAGATGCCAGAACTATTAAGTTCTAAACCTAGAGAGTTATGTGCAATAAAATTGCAAATATCATTATACGGCTTAAAGTAATCTGGACGTATGTGGTATAATCGTCTCAGTGAACATTTAACTAAAGAAGGATATGTAAACAATCTTATATGCCCATGTGTTTTCATCAAGAAAACGTCATATGGATTTGTTATTATTGCTGTATATGTTGATGACCTAAACATTATCGGAACTAAAGAAGAGATACAAAAGGCATCTGATTATTTAAAAGGAGAATTTGAGATGAAAGATCTCGGACAGACAAAATATTGTCTTGATCTCCAAATTGAGCATTCACATAAAGGTATATTTGTACACCAGTCTACGTATACAAAAAGAGTGTTGAAACGATTCAACATGGACAAAGCAACTCCACTAAGTACTCCTATGGTCGTTAGGTCACTAAATGTTGAAAATGATCCTTTTCGACCACATGAAGAAAATGAGGAGATACTTGGCCCTGAAGTACCATATCTAAGTGCAATAGGAGCACTCATGTATCTTGCAAATTGCACTCGGCCCGATATATCATTTGCAGTTAATCTTTTGGCAAGGTTCAGTGCATCTCCTAAGCAAAGACATTGGAATGGGATCAAACATGTCTTTTGATATCTTCAAGAAACAATTAATTTAGGGTTATTTTATCCTAACAACTCAAACGGAGAAATGGTTGGCTTTGCTGATGCAGGATATTTGTCTGACCCTCATAAAGCTAGATCACAAACTGGGTATGTACTCACAATTGGAGGAACTGTTATATCATGGCGCTCCCAGAAACAAACACTTGTAGCCACTTCCTCTCCACGAAGCAAGTAGAGAATGTGTTTGGCTCAGATCAATAAGTCAACACATCATTTCAAGTAGTGGGATCAACGTCAATTCAGAACCGACCATCTTATATGAAGACAATGCAGCATGTGTCGCTCAAACAAAAGAAGGATACATCAAAAGTGACCGGACCAAGCATATTCCACCGAAGTTTTTCTCATATACTCAAGAACTCGAGAAGAATAAAGAAATTGAAGTGAGATATGTTCGATCTTGTGATAATGCTGCAGATCTCTTTACAAAGTCACTGCCCACTACGACATTCAGAAAACATGTTTATAATATTGGAATGCGTCATCAACAAGACCTGTAATGATCATCTATTCGAGGGGGAGCTTCTAAGTTGTACTCTTTTTCCTTACTATGGTTTTCCTATTAGGTTTTCCAAAGAAGATTTTTAATGAGGCAACAAAATCATGTACAAGAAGAACTATTAATGATGATGGTCTCCAAGGGGGAGTGTTACAAAAGTCAAGAAACACAAACGTATAGCAATAAGAATGGAGCCCATGTCATAATGTACCACAGTTTTATTTGTCTGATATCTCATCTATATAAGAAGGTGTAGTGCGATCATTTTACGATGCCCCTTCTGATCTATATTAATAATATCCTGCTCCTACATTTTGGTATGCATTCTTACGTTCTTGATTTCTTATACATATACATAATATAAGTTATATGCATATCACCAAATATATATATATATATATACACTTAATATAAATTAAAATGATATAATTAAATATAATTATAATACTAGTTTACTTTTTTAAACTAGTTTTGTTTTAGTATCTTATTTTCTTTTCTTTTTTTGTAGTTTCACTTGGATTAGTGAAAGGTCCTACACAGCTGGCAATTCCACAAAAAGACAGTCAGACAGATAGAAATTCAGGAGCTTCGATAAGCAAACAATCGCTGGGTTACTGTCGAGAAGAGAACTCCCAAAACGACTTTTTTCCAGAAATCAGTCACATCATGTGTGGTCCAGGACCCAAAAAATAATAATTATTTTTCATTTTGTGTAATTTAATTTTAGGAAAAAAAAAAAGTAAAAATCTGTGGTCATATGATTCTCTCCGATGGTCATATGACTCATCATTTCCATTTTTATCTCATATTCGTTATTTTCTATTTTTCTCTGACCAGACGTTTCGGAAATTTCCAGCCAATCCCGAGAAAATCCATACAAGAGCTATTATCGTTTCATCTGCACCCTCCGCTCCTATTTCTACTTGTGATCCACCCTTTTTTAAAAAAGTTCTCGTCCTGGGATCGTCATGATTTTGATAGGCAACGTAACCAGAATCAATGATGAGTGACCTGAGCAAATGCAGGTCAATTTTCACTAGATTCTATTTTCTCGGGAATATCAAGTTTCTCTGAGACAGTTATCTTCCCTATAATCTGAAGATCCCTGAGACCTTCGCCACTCTTTTCGGGTATGACTCGTCACGTGATACTGGCAGAAGAAAGAAACTCTCCTCCGACCACGATGATCAAATACGCGGAGAGGAGGAAGGTGGGAGAGGTGGCGGGAGGAGCCGCAGCCGAGTGTGCGGCGGTGTGGTGTTGCGGCCCTTGCGCGGTGGTGAACCTGGTTGTTCTCGCCGTGTATAGAGTCCCCGCGGCAGTCTGTAAGAAAGCGTGGAGACGAACCAAACGGCAACGTTTTATGAGGAAACGACACGGTTTACTTGCGTCCGCGGCGGCCGAGAGCACCGTGCACGCTAGACTAAAGGAAGAAGATCCAACGGCTGAAATTGTTTTTGACGAAAATGTAGTGAATGGCGAGTTAAACGACGTCGTCATGCTTGAGGATGAGATGTTTGAACGTTTCTATGGGGCAGGTTTTTGGAGAAGCCCGTCACAAAGGGACACATCATCCGGAAGTTTATGAATTCTTTGTGAAAATATTAATAATTAATTTGATTTATATCTGATTTTTCTCTAATCATCATGCGAGTATGTGAATAGGAGAAACGTAGCAATATTATTGTTCGTTTTTGTTTCGTTCGATTTAAATATAACTACGTCTCATTTGGGTGTTGGGGTGGCTTTTGCAGACCAAAAGTTCATCTCTCACTATCTTTTTTTCTTTCCAAAACCCTATATTGATCCTAGAGAATGTTCTGTACTTATTTCACAAGATAAATCCTAAGAGAATTAGAGATAATGACATAACTAATAGACAACACAGATCTATTTCCAATACTTTATCTACTAAAGCCCTGAATTTTTAAAAATGAGCAATGGAAAGAAGTAAAATGTAGAGTACAGAGTTCACTAATGGCATAAATGGTCCTAGAGAAGGCACAAATATTGGTACAGCCCTGAATAGGTTGTAATTCCCTGATCTCTTGTGTGGGAACCAAAATTCACACTGGCGATTTTCCGTCATATATGGAAACTTAGGAAAAACTCTAATTTTCCAGAGGTTCTAGATCTCTACGAAATCACACCAAAACGAAAAGAAAAAAGAATATAGATGAAGAAATTGCGCAAAGGATATTATTGATAAAGAGAGGATGATTATTCAGAACGCTGAGGTTTTCTGAATAATCCTAAGGTACTTGACCTGGACCCGGAGGTGAATTGATGAGAGATGTAAAATTCGGAATTTTGAACATCGGAGACCCTGGGGTCGGACCCTGAGGTCGTTGTTTTGAGATCGTATTCTGCCTCCCTTGGGTAGGCTACTACCGATCTCAAGTAAGAATGCAAAATTCAGGATTTTGAATATTCAGGGCCCAGAGCCTTGTTGGATCGTATTCTGCCCCCTTTAGGTGGGCCACTACCGATCTCAAGTAAAAATGTAAAATTCAGAATTTTGAACATTTGGGGCCCGGGGCCCTGTTGTCATCGATATCGTATTCTGCCCCCCTTAGGTGGACCACTACCGTTCTCGGGTAAGGACTCGCATTTTGCCACTTGGGCCACTATCGAGATCTTGTAATGCTGCAGTCTGCTTTCTGCAGAAAGCAACTCTCAGTCTTATATGGTTGTGCTGGGGTGGGTCTACGGGGAAGTAGTGAGCCACGTACCAGACTTGCTGCTTTCCACGTCTGAATAAGCAGGATAGAAGTGCTCCCGGGGTTTTGTGCACCGTCTGCTCCCTTAAACCATGGAGCTGATCTTAGTACTCTGCAGTTATACGTCATGCCCCCTGCATCTCGTGTAGCTCGTAGCGTGTTTGATGCAGGGATTGAGGCACTAGTACGTGTGGCCCCCTTGTAGATTACGGCCCAAGGCCTCTATGCAGGGGCTGAGGTATTGTCGACATTGTATTAAGGTTGATCAAGTCCGTTCCAATTCGCATACCCAAATATTTATATACGTGAAACATGTCACGTAGATACGAGGATCGAGGTGCCCCTTGGGGTCCGGTCATACTTAGTGGTTTTGTATGTGAAACATGTCATGTAGTTGTAGGGTTCGCCAGGATCGAGGTGCCCCTTGGGGCCCGATCCAGCTAGTATGCCTCTTTTAAGTTCAGTGGAGTTCTTGTGGCTCCTTTAGTCGGAACTAAATGATGTTATATAAGCTTAGTACGTAGACGTTTTTATCATACATAGGAGCAGAAAACCAGTGTACTTAAAATATATAGATAGCTAGGTATCTGTAGAAAACCCGATCCAGAGATTTAATTAGAAGTGGTAGAACTTGAGGTGCAGGGCGTCCTAGTAGTTAGGTTGGACCTTTCCTTTGCTGTCTAGCTTGTAGGCTCCTGCCCCCTGCACTCCGATTATCTTATAGGGACCTTCCCAACCTGGCGCCAGCTTCCCTGCAGATTTATCTTTGGTATGGTCACAGACCCGTCGTAGGACCCAATCTCCTTGCTGGAAGGTTCTGGTCCTAACTTTCTTATTGTAGCTCCTGGCCACTTTCTGTTGATAGGAAATGTTCCTTAGGCGGGCGGCCTCTCTTTTTTTGTCGAGTAGATCCAGGCTGAGGGTCAGAAATTCGTCGTTTTCCTTCTGTGAGATGGGTCCGGAGACAGTCGTTCTGACGTGTACCTCCGTGGGTATCACTGATTCCATGCCGTAGACTAGTGAGAATGGAGTCTCTTGCGTGGCTGTTTTCGGAGTGGTCCGATAAGCCCAGAGGAATCCATGTAACTCTTCTGCCCAGTGCCCGTGGGCTTTTTCTAGGCGTTTCATGATCATGTTGACCACGGTTTTATTTGTAGATTCGGCCTGGCCGTTTTACTATGGGCACCGCGGTGCAGAGAAGGAGAGCTTGATCTTCCACTCATGGTAGAATTCTCTGAAGTCATGGCTCGTGAACTGGGGCCCGTTGTCTGTGACAATCTCTTGGGGCGTGCTGAAGCGGGTTATCACGTTTGCCCATATGAACTTCTTTATTTTCTCCATAGTAATCTTGGCTAAAGCCTCCGCCTCTACCCATTTTGTAAAGTAGTCAATTATGACGAGGAGGAATACCTTTTGCCCCGGTGCCATTGGGAATTTCCCGACGATGTCCATGCCCCATTTTCGGAAGGGTCAGGGAGAGCTTAAAGATTTCAGGTTCTCCGGAGGGAGGTTGGAGATCAGAGCGTGCCTATGGCATTGATCGCAGTACCTAATTTTTCTGAGGGCGTCACTGGCCATCGTGGGCCTGTAGTAGCCGACTCTTTTGGCTCTGAGCACTAAACTTCTGCCGCTGGAGTAAGAGCCGCATTCTCCTTCGTGGAGCTCTTCTAGGATTCTGGCCGCTTCCCTTGGGGTGAGACATCGCAGGTATGGTCCTGAAAAGGACCTTCTGTATAATTTTCCTTCGGTGATGCAGTACCTTGCTGCTTGCCTTTTTATTTTCCGGCTTTCGCCTCGATCTTCGGGAAGGAGGTCGCGTACCAGGTATTCGATTATAAGGGTCATCCAGGTTTCTCCTTCGTCGATGACGGAGATTTCTTCGGGATCCCCTTCTCGGTATGTGGCCGTCCACTGGAGTACCAGCAGGGGAATGTTCATCTGGCTAGTGGTTTCCAGGGCGGACCCTAGATTAGCCAGGGCATTGTCTTGCGAGTTTTGTTCTCAGGGAACTTGGGTAAGCTTGCAGCTCTGAAATATTTCGATCAGGCGCTTTGCTACGGCGAGGTATCTGATCATACTGGCGTCTTTGGCCTAGTAATCACCTTGGACCTGGCTGATGATCAGTTGGGAGTCGTTGAAGACCTAGATCTCCTCTGCTCCCATTTTCTTAGCGAGTGAGAGGCCTGCGATTAGGGCCTCGTACTCGGCTTCATTATTTGTAGCTTTGAAATTGCATCTCATGCCCCTTGATGCTGACTCTCCCGTGGGGAGGTTATGACTAGGCCCACTCCTGCCCCTCTTACGTTTCTGGACCCGTCGACGTGTAGGGTCCATTCTCCCGTTCTTCCTGCTGAGCCCTGGAAATCAACTTCGGACTCCGGGACCGGAAGCATGGATGGTGAGAATTCAGCGACGAAGTCAGCGAGGACTTGTGATTTGATGATTGTAGCAGGCTTGAAGACTATGTCGTATTCCCCAAGCTCGATCGCCCACTTTGCGAGGCGTCCTGACACCTCTGGTTTGTGGAGGACGGCTTTTATGGGGAACGAGGTGACTACCATGATCTGATGGGCCTGGAAGTAGGGCTGGATCTTACGAGCCGCCGTAATCAGCGCTAGTGCTAGATTTTCGAGGTGGCTCTAGCGAGTTTCTGCGTCCAATTAGGACTTACTCACGTAGTAGATAGGATGTTGTTTCCTTTCTTCGTCTCTCACGAGGACACCGCTTACTGCATGCTCGGACACGGCGAGGTAGATTAGCAGGACCTCACCATCTAGAGGTTTTGAGAGGAGAGGAGGTGTTGTGAGGTAAGCTTTGGGGTCGTCGAGAGCGAGTTCGCACTTATCGCTCCATTGGAAATCCTTAGGATTTTTCAGGGTCTCGAAGAAGGCGTGAGATTTGTCGGACAGCCTGAAGATGAACCTGCTTAATGCGGCCATCCAGCCCGTTAGTCGTTGGACTTTCTTTACGTTTCGCGGGGAAGGGATCGTCTGTAAGTAACTATGTACCCCATGAATTTTCCGTAGCTGACCCCGAATGAACACTTTGAAGGATTAAGCTTCATGTTGTACTTTCTGAGGGTGACGAAGGCCTGTTGTAGATGGGAGATGTGGTCTTCTGCCTCAAGTGACTTAACTAGCATGTCGTCTATGTAAACTTCCATGGTCTGTCCGATTTGTTCAGCAAACATCATGTTCACGAGCCTTTGGTATGTAGATCCTGCATTTTTCAGGCCGAAAGGCATGACTTTGTAGTAGTAGATGCCCCTTGGGGTCATGAAGGAGGTCTTTTCTTGGTCGTCTGGATGCATGAGGATTTGGTTATAGCCTGAGAAGGCATCCATGAAGCTCATGAGCTGGTGGCCTGCGGTGGCGTCGACGAGGTTGTCGATATGAGGTAGAGGAAAAGGATCTTTGGGGCATGATTTGTTGAGGTCAGTGAAATCTATGCAGACCCTCAATTTCCCATTCTTTTTCCTCACCACGACAACATTGGCCAGCCATTCAGGGTACTGGACTTCTCTTATGAATCCAGCGTCGAGTAGGTTCTTGACCTCTTTGTTGATAATTTCGTCCCTTTCGGTTTCGGGGGCAAATTTCCTTCTTTTCTGTCGTATAGGGGTTAATTGAGGGTCTACCTGCAGCTTGTGCATGATAACCTCAGGGTCGATCCCGGGCATATCCTCGTAAGACCAGGCGAAGCAGTCGGAGTTGGAGCGGAGGAAGTCGATTAATCTTTGCCTAAACCCAGTGGGAAGCTTGGATCCTATCAGCATTTTCCGGCCCGGGTTTCCTTCCTGCAGGGGTATCTCATCCATCTCTTCTACCTCAGACTCCTCCGTATGCAAGGCCGGAGGGCCCTTCAGTAATTGCTATAAGACGGGGCTCTTCCCTTTCAGAGTAGTTTGATAGCAGAACCTGGCATTCTCTTGGTCTCCTTTGATTACCCTGATGCCCCAGGGGGTCGGGAATTTGATTGATTGATGGAGAGTAGAAGGTACAGCCCCCATGTCGTGGATCCAGGGATGGCCCAGTATCATGTTGTAGGACGATGCACAGTCGACAACGAGGAACTTCGTTGGTTG